CAAAATTTGCATCCAAAATTTGAAAATAATAACCAAAATAATGATTTTTATTTTCAATAATTTATTTTCAAACTTATTAATCGTCTAATTTATTAAATATTTAAAAAACAGTTAAATTAATAGTTAAATTTTAAATACATGAAACTTAAGTAATTAAGAATTTAAATTTTTTCTTTCAAAATCTAAATATCCGAACCCGACCCGAAATAACCGAACCCGAACTAAAAATATCCGAACCCGACCCGATATGTAAAAATACCCGAACGGGTTCTAAACCCCAATACCCGAAAATCCGAAATACCCGACCCGAACCCGAACGGGTACCCAAACGCCCACCCCTAGTTTCACCAAACGTTGTACCAAAATTAGGGTTTGTACAAAATGAGAAAGGAGATATCGCCTAGGCGAAGAATAGTATCGGGTCACGCAGCTTTGGATGGAATGGGCTTCATGGGCTTTTGCTATTAACATGTCAGATCTTTAAAAATTCAAGCCCAACTTCAAAAACAACTCGCTTACGTGGCAAATTAAAATATTCTAATTGGTCAAATATTTTTACTGACGTGGATAGGTTCAGAAGGCTTCATATGCTCCTTTTAATAGTGTTAGTTAGATGATTTATTTACTAACACTTTAAATATCTAGATCAACCATTATAATGCTTAGTCTCCTCTATAATGAGTTGTACGTAAGAACAAATCTCAACCATAAAAAAAAAACAGAAAATCATAATAATCACAGGTATATTTGATTTTTGTGACTATATATGACTATTTGTGACTAATTGTATTTACAGTATTATTATGAGTAGTCACATAAGGTTTTATTTAACTTCAAATGGTGTTTAACTTCAAATGGTGTTTACTGAAGACAAACTAAAAACATGTATACTTAATATGTTTTCTTGAAGTTTTCACTTCTAACTATAAAAGCTTATACATTAGAACATAGGAAATAGATTTAAATTGTTTAGAACATAATAAAAGGGTCAGAATGAAAATAAAAATAAAATAAAAGGGTCAGTGAAACAAATCTTGATTAAACTTAAAATCTTAAATCATAAACTTAAAATTTTTATATAACTTTTTATCTTATTATATAAATCTTGATTTTTTAAAGTTCCTAATTAACATGATCATGACTCATATCAATAAATATTAAAATTATCACAAATATATAATAATTTAATAAAAAAAAAAACAATTTGATACTAATTTTTATTTTTAAATCCTAAACAAAGAAAATTAAGAAAGCTATATGAAAATACTTTTTCAAGAAAATCTAATTAGGAACTTTAAAAAATCTATATGAAAATACTTTGTGTGAAAAATTAAACTGAAACTATTTGTGTTAAATGCTTACCTTCTTTTAACTGATGAGTTATACTACTGTCGTTGTGTTCGAAATGAACTAACTTTCTATCTGCCTCTGATGTGATTTGCTTTAATTACGTAGTTAGGAATTTAAATGATAATTCTTTGCTTTCTATCTTCCCAACTGCTTTGATTTGATAGGCTTTAATTAGTAGGAGGATAGGTTACTTAAGGGTCTGTGAGGGTAGAATAATGTCACACACACTAACCTGTAACCATGGCTAATACTTCCGGCTATGTTAATCTACTAAATAGTCAAATCCCCATCGACCTTGAATCGGAGGAAGCTCATTGGTGCTCTAGCCAGGTTCCCGAGGAGTCTAATGCGAAGGAGAGGAGGAAATGGTCTCTCACAGAGGACAAAATCCTTATTGGTGCGTGGCTAAACACCAGTAAGGACCCTGTGGTGAGCAATGAACAGAAAGCTGATGCTTTCTGGAACCGTATTGTTGACTTCTACAACGCAAGCCCTCTCCTGGTTGGGACCAAACCGAGGAAGCTTCGTCCATGCAAGCAGAGGTGGGCTCGTATAAACGAGCAAGTATGCAAGTTCACTGGCTGCTATGACAGGGCCTTGAGAGAGTTGAAAAGCGGTGGAAATGATGATAATGTAATGACGGAAGCATTAGACTATTTCAACAAGAAGAACGGCTACAGGTTCACACTGGATCACTGCTGGAGGGAGCTCAGGCATGACCAAAAGTGGTGTGCAACTTATATGGCTAAGGACGGTGGAAAGGAGAAGCGGAAACCAACTTTGGAGGATGATAGAGAAGAAGGGGAAGACAGAGAACAAGAGGGTAGACCTCCCGGGGTGAAGGCTTCGAAAGCTGCTGGTAAAAAGAAGAAGAGTGCTAGGGAGGAGGAGTTGACGAAGCTACAGGCCGTTTTAGAAACTAAAGAAAAAATTTCGAGAAATAAACTCCTAGAACGTTTACTCGCAAAAACAGAGCCACTGTCAGACATGGAGTCTACTCTTCAACTCAAACTAATGTCTGAAATGTTGTAGGTAGTTAATTAGTCTTGACTTTAGGTAGTTAATCAGTCTTGGCTTTAGGTAGTTAATTACTCTTGATTAGTCTTGTTGAGTTTGGGACTTTTTAACGTTACCTATTGTACTTATATTGTCTTATTTGATGTGTCAGGTGCCGTGGAGCCATGTGAAGGAAGTCACGGGTGTGAAGGAAGTCACGGGTGTGAAGGAAGCGCATGTGAAGGAAGTCACGGAATTTTCTGTTCAAGTCTATGTAGTATAAGTAGATGTCATGGTCGTTCTCTATCCATTGTAGTAAAAGTACTTGTCTTGGTTGTTCTGCGGCTGAGTTTATCGTTCGTCGGCCTCTGAGATTTTGGTGCTTTATCTTTGTAAAAGACACCCTCGGAGATTAGAAGTTTGTAAGCTTTATGTTCTTATCTTTGTAACATTTATCACTTAATGTTAATCGACTGCTATTTGCTGTTTAGGTAACATTTACCATGGTGTTCTTGATCATATACTTTCATATATTATGTTCTTGATCATATACTTTAAGATATACACCTTCATTGTAAATTCTATAAACTCAATCATCTTATATAGCAAACATTCGTACTATATATGACATGCATATCGGTATATAGAAATTTATTAAACTGATTAAATACTAAAATTTTAAACATATTTTGTTCAATTGTTTTTGTTTAAGGTGGGATAACTAAAAGATGTCATCATCTTCTTCCGATGAAGTCGACGCAAGACTAGAAGAAATAGTCGACGACATCATCGAAGAAACATACAATGACATAGTCGACTCCCCAGAGCACCCGGCAACGAGACGTGCTTATGTAGAACGAAACCGTGAAGCAGGACATGCCCGTTTATGGAATGACTACTTCACCGAAGATTCGACTTATCCGGCACATTTATTCAGGCGCCGTTTCCGCATGAATAAGGATTTATTCTTGCGTATTTTCTATAGCCTATCAGAGAACATCCCTTTCTTTCGACAACGAAGAGATGCGACCGGGAGGTTTGGTCTTTCTCCAATACAAAAATGTACGGCTGCAATTCGAATGCTAGCTTATGGTTCTGCGGCTGACACGGTAGACGAATATCTCCGACTTGGTGAAAGCACGGCACTTTCGTGTTTACACCATTTCACCGCCGGAATAATACAGTTATTTGGAGATGAGTATCTACGAAGACCCACACCAGAGGATCTTCAACGACTTCTCGATATTGGAGAGAAACGCGGGTTTCCGGGGATGGTAGGAAGCATTGACTGCATGCATTGGGAGTGGAAGAATTGCCCAACCGCTTGGAAAGGACAATACGCACGTGGATCAGGAAAACCGACAATTGTGTTAGAGGCTGTGGCTTCACAGGATCTTTGGATATGGCACGCTTTTTTCGGTCCTCCGGGTACCTTAAACGATATTAATGTCCTCGATCGGTCTCCTGTATTCGATGACATTTTCGAAGGCCGAGCACCAAGGGTAGAGTATGTGGTCAACGGACACATGTATAAGTTGGCGTATTATCTCACAGACGGTATATATCCTAAATGGTCGACCTTCATCCAATCTATCTCGCACCCTCAAGGTCCTAAAGCAGAGTTATTTGCTAAAGTCCAAGAATCAACTCGAAAAGATGTGGAACGGGCTTTTGGAGTTTTGCAAGCTCGATTTGCTATTGTGAAAAATCCGGCTCTTTCAATGAACAAAGGAAAGATAGGAAGGATTATGCGAGCATGTATCATACTACACAATATGATTGTCGAGAATGAACGGGATGGATATATTCATTACGATATGTCTGAATTTGAAGAAGACGCCCCAAGAAGTTCACGGGTACATACTGATATGCCGACAAATATCGCTAATTTGCTTGGCATTCGGGAAGATGTTCAAGATAAACATTTGCATCAACGATTGAAAAATGATTTGATTGAAAACATTTGGAACAAATTTGGTGACGATTATTAATAATTCTTGTATCTTTTTGTTATCATTATTGTATTTTTCTATTAAATCATGTTATAAGTAAATTTTTTTAAATTTTTTGCACTTTAAAAAAAAAAATTATTTTAAGGATTCAAAAACGAGACTCACCATTGCACTAACATTTTGTATAGGGTCCTTAACTATTCACAAACCAAAAAAAAAAAAAAAAAAATAATACTACAATATTCCTAAGGACTCTCTCTTGGACCTCACCATTGCGGGTGCCCTTAGTATATATCTTTTGAAGTTCAATATAAGGAATGTGTGGGAATAGTTAATTCCTCTTTATTCCTTAAATTTGACACCATTTATAAGGAATCATAATAGTTAATTCCTCTTCATTCCTTAAATTTGACACCATTTATAAGGAATAATTTTTCCTCAATATTCCTTCTCATTCCTTTTAATTTAAGGAATCAAAGAACAAAATCATTCCTTATCAAATTCGGGGAGGAACAACATGGAACAAGTGTTCCTATTATTTTGTTCCTCTTCATTCCTTTCCTAGTTGTTCCTATTATTCCTTTGGTGGTCACCAGTCAAAGCCTAAGTGTCTATCTATTTAGTAATATGTAGACTACAGATCTAGTAAATCATTGGATTTTTAATTTAATATTTTTAATGTTTTGGTGTGACAGAAGGAGCATGTGGTTATGGAGACCTATTCCAACAAGGTTATGGGTTAGAAACGGCGGCTCTAAGCACGGCTCTCTTCAACAACGGCCAAACATGCGGTGCTTGTCGAGCTCACGTGTGTAAACTCACAATGGTGCAAACAAAACGCCGGTCCAATCAGAATCACAGCTACCAACTTCTGCCCACCCAACTACACCCCACCGGTCGATATCCACTGGTGCAACCCTCCTAACAAGCACTTCGATCTATCCATGAAGATGTTCACTTCCATCGCCGAGTACAGAAGTGGGATCGTTCCTGTGAAGTTCAGGAGAGTCAAGTGTCAGAAGAGTGGTGGTGTGAGGTTTGACATTAAGGGAAACCCTAATTTCATTATGGTTTTGGTGTATAACGTTGGTGGAGCGGGAGATGTGAATAGTGTGGCTATTAAAGGGCATAAGAGTAGTTGGATCTCTATGCAGAGGAACTGGGGTCAGAACTGGAACACTGGAGTGGATTTGGTCTGACAAAGCCTCTCGTTTTTGGTGAAGACTAGTGATGGTAGGATCTTGACGTTCTATAATGTTGCGTCTGAGTCTTGGGGGTTCGGTCAAACTTTTGAAGCGAAATCAAACTTTTATTAGATTGTCTTTTACTTGCTTATATATCATCATAGTAATAAAAACATTCGTTTCATAAGATTCTGTTGAAGTTCACAAATACTCGACGTGATATTTTTTTTATTGTTGAATTAATTATTGGCAAGTTTGAAACATTCAGTGCCCTTCAAATTTTTTTTAAAAAATATACGCAAGTTTTATGATCTTTGTATTTTAATAAATGATTAAAATTTATTTTAAAAATATTTATGGACTCCTAAATCTTTAGCCGGCTCTAAATTTGGCATATAATAAATTGTTACTACCAGTACAACCAAAACATAGAGATATGCAAAGTTTTTTTTTTCTGTACGAGAATAAGCATATGTGATATCATTTTAGGCCTCTTTTAAGTTTCTCGTAATTAAAGATTAGTTCATTCAAACATATATGTCAACATCTTTATTCTACTTCAAGGTAGATACATTTTAGTAAACCATAAGGCAGGTTCATCCAAGTTTAGCAGTGAAAGGACGATCCATGAATATGCCAAAGACCATATGGAATATTAAGCAAGTTGAACTTCCATGAGTATATATCATCCACGTAAATAAGGAAATTATATGTATAACAATATGCAACACAATGTTCCTTCACATTAGTATCTCTAAGTTCAATACTTTAATCAACTTTTCCTGAGCAAATCTAATTACACCGAACCGGTTATTAAAGAAAACCAAATTCTCATAAATGAATTGGTGTTAATTTTCTCGAATGAGATCAAAACAAGTTTGAAGAATGCAAATATTAGTAATCATCTTGTTCTTTTGTTCATTCACATGCAAATATTAGTAATCATCTGGAACTAGTCTTTTTTAGTTAATAATAATTATATTCACTTGAGGAACGCTACCACTAGCTTGAATGATATATGTTTCTCAAGCTGCAATGAAGATCCATTCATGTTCGTCAAAATGTTCACTAAAGAGCACAGCCTAAACATAAAATGTAATTTAGCCTCACACAATGTAACACAATATTCTCTGAAGGTAGTTTTAATTTAGCCTCACAATATTCTTTGAAGGTGACAAAGTAATGTGTAGTCTTTAGTTATATAATGATTGTTTTGCCATTAATAAGTATTTAATATTTAACTCTCTTTGAAATGATATTGGCATAATTAGAAAATTTTAATATTTCATTAAGGGTATATTTCCGTGATGATCTTCTTTGAATGATATTCATTATTGGGAAATTACCTAGTACTTTTCTAGTACCATTTTTCATATTTACCTTAATCACATTTACCCTTAATTAAAAAGAGGTAAATAGAAAATGAGAAATTGTAATAAATACCACTTTCCTAATACGATTTTTCATTTATACATTAACGAACTTTACCACTAAATTTTTAATAGGCAAAATACAATTATATCCCTAACTAATAAAACCTAAAACTGTTGTCTTCTTCCCCTCGACATCCAATAATCAAATCTAAACCTAAAACCATGATCACCGGCGGCGGAATATTACAGACGGCTAACAGCGGCGATGGAACGGTTCTGTTGTGAAATTGACTCTCAGCTGGTGATCTTTGTGTTGTTATTGAAGTGATTCCTGATCCGATATTGAAGAGGGATGATACGAATATACTCTATACGTGTAAGATATCGTATGTAGATGCGATATTGGGGACAACTTTGAAGGTTCCAACGGTTGATGGAACGGTGGATTTGAAAGTATCAGCGGGGACACAGCCGAGCACGACGCTTGTGATGGCGAAAAAGGGAGTACCGGTGTTGAATAAGAGTAAGATGAGAGGTGATCAGTTAGTGAGAGTGCAAGTTAGAGATACCAAAGAAGTTGAGTAAAGAAAAGAAGAAACTTGTTGAGGAGCTTGCTGATATGAGCAAGAACAAGGTAGCTAATAGCAGGAGATAAAAAGAAAATGTGGTGGTGGTGGTGTTACTACATAGATGATCCTCTCAGCTGGAAATCTTTATTTATGTTTCTTCTAGTGATAGAGAAGAAGAAAGACTTTATTGTTAGTTGAGAGGAAAATTGAAGAAAGACTTTCTTTGGTTTTTCCTCTGTAATTTTTGTGATGCCAAGGTACTTGTGATGCCCAAAAAGAGTGACCAAGAAGTTTTTTTTAATGGTTGTCTCAGTCTATTTTAACTGGAATTATTACCTCTTTTTAGGTAACAAGGCCATGCAGTCCCAGCAGTATCTGGAGGCAATCGAGCTGTATTCCTTTGCAATTGCGCTCTTAGATAAGAACGCTGTTTTCTACTGCAACAGGTCAGTGACAAAGCTTGAACTTGATATTATCTGGAAGCTTAAGTTAGTTAGCTCTCTGATTGTGTTTCCTGCTTAATCTGTTTTGAAATAATTGTATATCAGGGCTGCTGCATATACTCAGATCAGCATGTGCTCAGAAGCAATTAAGGTAAATCCATTGAGATCGATCCAAACTATAGTAAGGCTTACAGTCGTCTTGGGTTAGCATATTATGCTCAAGGAGAGTATGCTGATGCTATTGAGAAAGGATTCAAGAAAGGTATGTGTGTGTTCCTAGAAATGAATCCAACCTTCTTTATCAAGTTAGCATATATTTTCATACTTTAGAAAGGGGCTACAGCTTTGCTTCATTACGTTAGCTATCAAAATTATTCTGTGTAATCTTTTTCATCACACTCATGGCAGCTTTGGAGTTGGATCCGCATAATGAATCTGTCAAAGAAAATATCAGGGTCGGTTTTCTTTTTTTTTTTTGTTAAGAAATATACTTATCTGCTTTATCGTGATCATTCTGTAACTTGATGAGACTGTGATATTGACGTATTTGGAAAACACAGGTGGCTGAACAAAAACTAAGAGAAGAAGAACAACGACAGAGACGTAATCAGGTAAAATTTATCACATGGAGTAGTAGAAAACCAAAGGAACTAACGGTTTTGTGGTGTTGTAAGAGCAGAATACAAACATGGGACATAATCAAGATCCAGGAATGGGAGGGCAAGGAATACCTTCTCAGTTCTCGATGCCTTTAAACCCTGATATGATGAGGATGTTCATGAACATGACGGGAAACAGAGGAGGAGATGGTAACATAAATGGTACAAATGAGCATGAGATTCGTGTAGGCGGAAACATCAACATAGATCTTGGCGCCGCGGATCAAATGCCTGAAGAGTTTTCAGGTGCATTGCGATCAATGATGCAGATGTTTGGAGGATCTCAGGAAGGTAACAATAACAATCCTCAAGGTACTAATGGAAGGCCATCTGGAAGTTAATCTCAAGAGTAATGTGTGTTCTATGGTTTTTGCTCCAAAGACTTTGTTAGGTTTTGAATTTTAACAGTAGACTGATGTAATGAAGTGATGTTTTCTAAAACTTCGATAGACATACAGTAATAGTATGTGGTAAGCATACATGATGAACATGAAAAAGTAAACTCATATCTTTTTTTCTTCTTTTGGTAACTCAAAATATAAAACTAACAATATTTGGATTATTGTTTACAGTGTTTCTTTGTTTCAGTTTATAAAACTAACAAGAGTTTTACAAGTCCAAACTCTGTTGGAGCTAGATTCAAATGATTTACAAAGCTTTATAAATTAGTTTATAAATATTAATAATTAACTTATAGAATCCAATAGATATTTTATAAAGTGTTATAAATCAATTTATAAACCTTTATACATTAATTTATACACACTTGTAAATTAACATAAAATCTCTTATAAATTAGTTTATAAGATTTCATAAATCAGTTAATGAACCCTTATAAACCTCTATAAATAATATATAAGCTTTTATATATACTATATTAACTCTTATAAATGTAGATACCTTATAAATGTTTTATAAACCCTTATAAATTATTTATAAACACTTATAAATGATTTATAAACACTTATAAATGACTTTTAAACCTTATGAATAATTTATAAATCCTTATAAAATGATTTTATATGTACTCTTATTTTAATTCTATTTCATAAAGTTTGTCAACAACATATTTAACTTTCATATAGCCTTCAGGGTAGTTTAGAAGTTTAGAAGTTTTTAGAAGTTTAGAAGTTTTTATAAATCTTTATAAATTTATTTTTTTATTCTTATAGATGTTTTATAATCCCTAATAAATGATTTAAACACCTTCATAAAATGTTTTAACTTTATAACTGAATTACCTTTAGAATTTACAAGTCCTTATAAATGATTTTATAAACCCTTATAAATAATATTATATATTCTTATAAATGATTTATAGATTATAATAAAACAAATTCTATATATTCTTATAAATTATAAACTCTTAAAATAGTTTAGAATTTAGACAAAGTCTTTTACAAATCCTTGCAAATGATTTATAAATATTAATGGTTCATAATAAGTTTTATAAACTATTATAAATGGTTTATATACAAAACTATTGTATATATTCATATGATTTATATTATAAACATTTATAAACAAACATGAATAGCTTTATTAATCATTATAGATACTTCCTTCTTGCAAATACAATTGATCCATCAAAAAATACATAAATAGATTGAAAGATGGATCAGACTAAATGGTGTATTTCCTGGCATATGTGATGAGCATTTTGGTTGTAGTAACTGGCAAGGCTTAGTATGCACAATATATGAGGTGGGAGGTTAATGTTTTGGTAGTGTAACGTTAGTGTAAATGGTATGGACTTACAAATAATTTTACATATCTTTATAAATTGTTTTATAAACCTTTATAAAATTGTATAATCTTTATAAATTGTTTTTATAAACATTTATAAATTATTTACATATCCTTATAAACCCTTATAAATTATCATACAAACCATTATTTAGGTGTCATTATAAGCTTTTCCTTGTTACGACATCATTCAAGAGACCGGCTCTGCATAAAAGACAAAAAAACTTGTTATAGATTTAATAACTTGTTTTATAAGCCTTTATAAATGGTAGAGACTTACAAATAATTTTACATATTTTTATAAAATATTTTATAAACCTTTATAAAGGTATATAATCTTTATAAATTGTTTTTATAAACATTTATAAATTATCTACATACCAATTATAAACCATCATAAATTATCATACAAACGATTATAAATATGTTTTATAAACCTTTCTAAATAGTTATAGATTTTTTTAAAATGATCTAGGACCTTTTAATTGCTCTTAAACCTATTATAACTTGTATACATGCCCCTTATAAACTGAATATAAAATTATAACTATATAAGTTAGTTTTGTAAATGGTTTATAAACCTTTGATTCCTATGTTTCTTGTACTTCACGCTTCTTTCTTCTTTCTTCTTTGTAGCTTTTTCTCTGCTACTCTTCTTTGCTCTTCTTCTTCTATTCTCTTACTGTTATTTCTTGTTTATGATTTAATCAAGGATCCAATATCGAACAGAACCTACGAAAACAGTAGACCAAAGTGCATATTGAACTCATCTTCAGTATAAAAATCAAACACAATAATCGGATAGAACAAACATCAGCAACAGAAACAGATAAGCACACACACATGTAAATGTAGACAACAAGGGGACTAGCGCAAAAAAAAAAAAAATGTTGAGAGTAGTATTTGAACCAACGCCCTTTCGGACCAGAACCTTAGTATGACGCCTTAGACCAACTCAGCCATATCAACTAAAGAAAATGATCAAACCAAAAAAAGTATCTTCCATGTGTAGTTCATGAAGATTCCATCACACAAGTCAAAGAATGGTTTGTTCCTCTCATTCAACTGATCTTGACATTCAAGATCACCACAAACAGTGACGCTGTCGTACCTGCAAATTAAAAAAAAAAAAGTGACCAGATTCAAAATGGTATACCAAAAGAAAGAACTTTGTAAACAACAACTTACCATATAACCAAATCCCCAGGCGTAGATAAATGCAAGACTTTTGTTAGATGGCTTATGAACATGAAGCTTACCAGTTCATATTGCTGGTGCAAACTCTCTGTCTTTAAATTGTGTTTATCACTATTGCAATGTAAACAAAGAAAAACAGACGAATAAGAATCCTATACACCATATTTTACATTTGTGATATCATGATAGTAGACTAGCATACATACCTATCTTCCATCCAGGCAACACTGTATAAGTCGCCTAAACATGTCTCATACTCGGACGGTACACTCGTATCCTCTCCAGGACAATAAGTACCCCAGCTGCTTTCTTCTGCATTTGATGCAGTTGTCGTGTAAATGTTTAAACCTTCTGGTAAAAGACCTTCGAATATACTTCGAGACTCACAAGCCTCAAGATAAAACACCTGCAAAATCAAAACATAAAACTCAAACTAAAATCACAGGCTCTTGAAAAAAGAAATCTTTTTCATAAGATTCTTGAAATTATACCAAGCTCTTATATGTTCCAGAAGCATGTTTCTTCTTCAATACATTGTTTAGATCGTTTGCATATAGAGCCGGAGAAGTTGGCATCCCTACAAACAACCATGGAGACTTGAATCATCAAACTTTATTGTCATCATATCAACTTCGTTTGTTTAACATGAGAAACAAAACAAGTAGGTAGAACTCACCAAGCACTCCCGGGCCACCATGATCACTATAGTATATGAAGATATGATCGTTTGGACCACTATCTACAACCTTACCACTTCCTCCTTTAAGAGCTGTTTTATTTCCAAGAATCACAGCAAACAGATTACCAACGTTAACATCATCTCCAGTGTAATCCTGCCACAAGCAGATCCAAAACAATTAACTCAATGGATCCACAATATAACTACATATCTAAAAACGAGAAAAAAAAACCTTGGGAACTCCATTATAAACATCATCTCCGTTAGGACTGTTAATAATGATTCCAGGTCTTGGGTTCTCTTTGTGAATCAGAGAAGGAAACGTAGAATGAAGATGAACAACTTTCAACTTTTGTTTTTATTCAACTTAACCTCAATGTTTACAACGTTTTGATATATATAGTGAAGCTCACAACATGACCACAGCTTAACATAATCTTATCTTTAGCTGAGTCATCCCATGACAGCACACTCCCTTAGACAGCCAAATCTGTTCTCCATAACAAACGCATGAGCTGGCTTGACCGTACTCCTAGCCACACTTGACTCCTTTGTCTTTTCTGCATCTTTAGTTTTGACCGTTGCAGGAACCTTGGGAGTGGGCTTGAGTTGAGCTTCATTGTCATGGGCCTNGCACACTCCCTTAGACAGCCAAATCTGTTCTCCATAACAAACGCATGAGCTGGCTTGACCGTACTCCTAGCCACACTTGACTCCTTTGTCTTTTCTGCATCTTTAGTTTTGACCGTTGCAGGAACCTTGGGAGTGGGCTTGAGTTGAGCTTCATTGTCATGGGCCTTGACATCACAAACTGAGCCCATACTGCTAATACACCCCCTCAAACTCAGCGTAGAAGGAACAGAGACACTGAGTTTGGTTCGAAGTCTATCATAGACAGTCTGAGACAAAGACTTTGTAAAAACATCAGCTATTTGCAAAGAAGCTGGAATGTGTTTTACCTCCAACAGCTTCATGGCCACACGTTCCCTGACATAGTGATAATCTATCTCAAAATGTTTAGTCCTTTTGTGAAACATAGGATTAGCAGAGAGATAGACTGCAGACAGATTATCGCACAACAACAGGGGCATTCTCTGCTGTTGAAGTCCCATTATCCGCAAAAGATTCTGAAGCCAAGCAACCTCAGATGCAGCAAGTGACATGGTTCTGTACTCAGCCTCCGTAGAAGATTTTGAGACAGTCTCATGTCTCTTAGCAGACCAGAAGATTATGATTTTGCCAAGAAAAGTGCAAAAACCACCAGTGGATCTTCGAGTCTCCTTACAACCTGCCCAATCGCTATCACTGTAACACACAAGTGTTGAATCTGTGTCTTTGACAATGCTAATACCCATCTCGGATGTCCCCTTCACATACCGAAGTATACGTTTCAACAAGTGAAAGTCAGACACGCTTGGTTGGTGCATCTTTTGACATATGTAGTTTACTGAAAACTGCAGATCAGGTCTTGTTAACGTCAGATATTGAAGTTTACCTGCCAAACTCCGAAAATATGATGGCTCAGAGAACACTTCATCTTGTCCTTGAAGATGATCAAGCTTCAGAGGTAGTGGAGTTGGCATAGGTGCACTGTCTTGCATTCCTGCAGCAACAAGAAGATCTTGAGCATACTTAGCCTGATTCAAGAACAACCCTGCTTCGACCTTATGAACTTGAATCCCAAGGAAATAATGCACCATTCCCATATCTTTCATCCGG